CAAGGGCCGGTGTCCTGCAGGTTTTAGATGTATGCTTGATCCAACACAGCTGATTCAAATGGCTAAATGACCTCCTCAACATGTCTTGAAGTTCTCCAGAGGCCTGATAATGAACTAATCATTTGATTCAGGTGTGTTGACACGGGATGAGATCTAAAACCTGCAGGACAGCGGCCCTCGAGGCCTGGAGTTACCCACCCCTGACCTACACAAACACGGGGAGAACATGCAAACTCCACACAGAAAGACCCCGGCCTGATAGTGGAATTGAGCTCAGGATGTTCTTGCTGTGAGGCAACAGTGCTAACTATCATGCCACAATAATTCCACAAACTAAGAAATGTAAAAAAGTAAGAATGACAGATGAATAAAGAGAAGTCTTTAGTTCATTAAATGCTTTGTTCTGTCCAGAATAACCAAACTTTAATGTGTTGTTTCTCTTAATTTACAGCCCCAATTAAAAAAAAAAGCTGTTTAAAATTTGAATAAGATTTTCAAATCCCATGTTTTTTTCCCAGTAAAACACAAAACATATGACATGTTCGATATGAGACCTTTTACTATTTCATGAAAAAATAAAAGCTTGATGGCAGCAAAACATCTCAAAAATGTAGGAAAGCAACGAAGGAAAAATAAATGGTACTAAAAACAAACAGCTGGAGGAACATTTTGCAACTAATAGTAACATAACTGGGTTTGAAAAGAACATCTAAGAGAGGGAGAACTTCTCACAGGTAAAGAAGGACAGATGTTGAGTAATCTGCAACAAACTACTTCTTCAAACTGTGGAAAAACTAAAATTGTGAAGACTTTGAATATGTCATCGTCTGATTGTCTGCATACTATCATTAAAACATTCTGAAATCTCATTTTCATTGCATGGGGTCAGAAACGCTTACAGAAACCACTGTCTGTGCGTTTACCTCCTAATATCACCGCATAGTGTATTCAGCTGCTGTATGACTAAAAACAACTATCTGATTTAGTGATGGGATTTATTGCCTTAAGCTGTAAGGGAGGCAAGGAATTTTCCTCACACAGTATGATGGAGCGATCAAAAACAACACAAAGTTCCAGTGTTTTGAAAGCTCTTTCTTCAGAAGACCAGTCTTAAAAATAGCTGATCTCGAGCAGCTTCTTTGCTAAAAATGCCTCAGCAGCATTACAAGAGCCAGAATGAAGCTGGTGACTGTCAGACTGGGGGAGAGGGCTTACTTGTGCTGCATCTGGTAATAGATAACCCTGCAACTTAGCGTGCAAAGGGAGAATGCGTGAGTGCCCACTTTGTCAGATTGTCAATATGTCTTCAGGATACGGAGACAGAGTGGGTCTAGAGTTCAGAAAGAGTTTGCTGACGCGATCAGCAAGCCAACATGTTCACCACATTCTAGAAACACATCCATATACTGTAAATGCTGATGTATTTAAGGATGTAACTAATAATATCATTTGTGACATTTTTTATTCAGAGATTTCATTTATTGTAGGATCTACCTAACAACATAAAGCGCCTTGAGTCGACTATTGTTGTAATTTGGTCCTGTATAAATAAAATTTAATTGAATTTCCAGAGCAGGGATCTAAAGACAGTAAGAGACTTGAAAGCTGTGGGGCTGCAGGTCCTTTATAACACACTGCTTCTTGTATAGCATCTTTCTACTCATCTGAACACTTTCTCCCACAAGTCTCACTCTTCCAATCACACACTGCACAGGGGGAAGCTTGGGGAGTAACATTTTACACAAAGATACACTGGCATGTACACTGGAGAAGTCAGGGACTGATGCACCAGCCTGATGATTGGTAGATGACTAAATCTACCACCTGAACTGCAGACAAACCTAAAACTGCTTTTCAAAACAAAATGAGAAATAACAAAAAGACAAAAAACAACAGAACGAAGAAAAACTAATTACTGGAAATCACATGGAACTTACTTGTTTATCCATCTAATACAAAAGACTAATTCAGACTCTCATTATTGGATTTAAAATAATATTGGGTTTGCTTGTTGGCACAAAATTGCGTGTCAACATATCCCAAGCTGCGTTATTTGGAGCTCTGTTTCAGGCCACGTGGAAATCTAAATCTGAAGCTAATTTATTTATTTGTCGCCATTATAGTGGTGATGGTCAATTTTAAACACTTTACATATGTTTTATTTTCAAATGTTGAGTTACTTTAACAACACTGTGTTGACAACTGACAGATAGATAAAGAAATAAACAAACAGTCTTGCATATAGTCTGTGACTTTTGGGTAACCTGGTAAAGGCCACTGAAGCTTTCCAAAGTGAGCCTTTGTTACTTGTAAAGCAGGGGTCTCCAGGCCTCGAGGGCCACTGCCTGCAGGTTTTAGATCTCACCCTGGGTCAACACACCTGAATCAAATGATTAGTTCATTACCAGGCCTCTGGAGAACTTCAAGACATGTTGAGGAGGCAATTTAGCCATTTAAATCAGATGTGTTGGATCAAGGACACATCTAAAACCTGCAGGACACCGGCCCTCGAGCCCTGGAGTTGGGGACCCCTGATGTAAAGTATTACTCAAAAAGATCCTGAGCAGCTTAAAACAGAATAATGCAAAAGACGTTTCATTAGCACTGAGTTCAAATGCATAAAAAAACCCACCAGATGTATTTTGTTTATTTATCCATTCTTTTCTTTTTTCTTTTATCAACGATAGCTGCAGAGATGCTTTGAATGTATTTCTTGTTTTTCTGCCATGCTGCAGCCACACAGTCTCCACATGTTCAGCATGCTCCTGATAAATAGGACTGGGACTGATTAAGAAAACAAGCTGAGGATCCTTCTTTAACATCTCTGTGAAAAGAGAGAAATGAAACAACACCATGAAAATCTTTAAAAATAAGCTCTGCACACTGGTGAAGACTTTATTTCAAGGAGTCGATGAGATTTGACATGTGTGGGCAGTCCCAGTGAATCAGGGCTTTGAGTGACTGATGATCAGTTATTACCTCAGGTGGATCCTGAGGGACACTGAGTGTGGTGGATCTGTGAGCAGCTTGAGGCTCTGATTAAAACATGACTGATTTGCGGTTTACTCAAACTCTGCCTGATTCACGAGTGTGCAGACACACACATGCATGCACATGAAAAGTTATGAAAAAGGTTTTCTGAAAACTGTAAGAACAGGCAAAAATAAATCTGAAAAAAAAAAGAAAAACCTGCAAAAATGTAAGTTCATAATTTATTCCAGTGCTCCTCTCTGTTGCACAGCAACAGTTTGGTAGTTTGTGAATACAAATGACTAAATCATATATTTCTCCTCAATTAACAGTTTCAGCCATAAAATCAACACGAGTATGTTAAAAATCTTTCTGGTATTTTTTCACACTCAATAACTTTGTTTTATTGGTATGTGAGTGTTTAATGGGAGCAATTATTAGTTCCCCTGATGTAGTCAAAACCAGTAATAATAACATAGTTTGGCCTGATATTACTGATTCTTTCCACACAGATTTTTTTGTCCTCTAAAGGCAGCAGGACTGATTCACACACACACGGGGTAACACATTCATTCCGTCTGATAAATATGGCCATGGTGTGCTACGGTGGCTACAATGTCCCCCCTTTCAACTGGATTTGCTGATAATAATTAATTATATAATACGAGTAATAATAAAACCTATTAAAACATATCCCAGCTATCAGTCAGTGTGTTATATATTGAATCAGGCACACATTCATAATGTGAAAACACTCTATGCATTATTGTAAAATCAGTAGTCACTGACATAAATGAGACATCTTATAAAGTGATCTATAGCAACATTGCACATCAGTTTGCCTGCTACATTTTACAGCGGTAAGTGTGCCTGAACTCTTTCACTGAACTACTTAACCGGGATAAAATGTTACTTTCAGGTCTTCAAGATAAAATAGGAAATAAATAATGTCCAACTTTGCAGTTTTCTGCAGCAGGGTTCCTCTTTTATATGTACTAGTAATATTCCCTCTACCCCAATACGCCTTCAGGCACCTGCTGCTGCAAAGGAGCCCCACAGCATCAGTGCTCTGCCAACCAGACTTCACCATCATCGTGAGAAATACTGCTGGGAAGTACAAAAGTGCAAATTTGATCTCCACTTACTAACAGTGCTACTTATTAATACTACATATCTGCCCACTCTATTTGTAGTTAAAGGCTCTGCAAACCCACGCAGCTATGAGTAAAAACACCTGTGTGGGTGGATAAAAAAATACATTCTGGATAATACATTTTTATTGATCAAAATGCCAAACAATACTCCAAATGTGCTCTGTCTCAAGCAGCAGCAGGAGCCACCATGAAAAAGTATCATTTTTTTCATGAATCCTTACTTTTATTGTTTGAAAATGTTGGAAAAATAATATCGGAGACATCTTTGTATTATCTTTATTTTATGAGGGGTGCGCCCGCCCCGCCCCCCGGTTGGTGGCATCTCTGCCCAACACATCTTAAAAATGCTACAAGTACAACATAAAACAAACAAAAATCCACAGCGTAACACAGTGGTTCAAAAAACATTACAAAAGTGGCTTTTTTCAAAAGAAATATCCACAAGTCTCCTTCACTGCATTTCTCATGGTGTTTTTTAGATTCACCAATAGTCAGAGGCGTGGTTAAATTCCAATTCCCTGCTTAATTTTCAACCATTGCTTTGTCCTCATGATGCAGAGTCACTACAATTGATATAAACTAATCAACTAAAATTGATATGCATTTGTAGACTGGAGATTAATACTAAAATTCAAATTGTTGAAATAGTTGAAAAGTTTAATCTTTTAGGTTTTAACAATTAATCAACATTAGCCAGAAAACATCGGAAATGTAAGACCACAGCGACTGGAACATGCTGTGCTGGTTCGGGATTAACAGGAGCTTCACATCAAACTATCCAGTTTAGTAAACATATAATACATGAAAAAAAATGTGTTTGATGGCTTATTTTATTTTCAGCGGACCCGCAGAATCAGCAGATGGTGGAAGACGTGAAGGCTGCTCCTTAGTGTTGAGCTACAGACGAGGAGCCCATTGGCTTCATGGAAATGTGGTGAGGGGGGAGCGGGGCTTCCTGCGCTATAAAAGCGGAATGTGCGCGCGTGGAGAGGACGGTACCTTCAGTCAGTCGACCGGTGAGCATCACAGAAATCCACACGCAGACACGCACAGCGAAGCCATGAGTGAGGTAGGTTCTTCTTAGTAAATCGCTTTTTCCGCTTTGTGTTTGTACTTTGGCGTCAGAGACAACTGATATTCCGGACTTGGTATAAAGTTATAAGAGCAGAGCTGCAGATTCAAATAATAATAACATTTAACCCTCGCTTTGTCCAACACTCTTGCTGCTGAGATAATCGATATTCAACTTTGATGTAGAGTCATAAAAATAACATGCACACATGTTTAACATGAAGAATGAACTCAGTGTGCGCTTTTCTCGATTTTTCCCCACATTCCTACATTTTACGCAAAAAAGCGATAAGCGATAGTGTTACAGTGAGTCACAGCCTAGATGAATATTGCTTCTGTTGTCATGACTGGAACTGATGTGCAGCTACCAGGCAGACTCTCAGCATACGTGATGGGATTTTTGCAGCTCTGATGATCTTAATCACTTCACAAACTTAAAATGACAGCCAGCACAGTCAGGTTGTTTGAGCCACTCCTCAAACCGCTGAACTGTGTGTGTGTGTGTGTGTGTGTGTGTGTATGTGTGTGTTGAAGTTTTACTGGTGAATATGGCTACCAGTGACATTTCAGGCAGCATTGACCTACACAGTTAGTCTAATCATACAACTATTCAGATGTGAAAGAAGAAGCCAGTCTGATAATGTCAGAGTGGAGATTAGAAGTAAGAGTGTTCACTGGCAGGGTAAGTCCTGTTGTTTCTGAATTATTCAAGGCTAGCTGGGAACCCAGGGAAATAAAACATTCCTTGAGCATTCACGAGGAGCCAAGGCTCCAACAAGACCGCTCGTTCAACCCAAGAACCTGGACTGACTAAAACCATATAATACAAGGCTACTTTTAACCTGTCTCCAGCTCTGAGTCCACTGTTGGGCTTTATTATGCAGTAATTTTGTCACTCGATTAGTGCTTCCAGTGTATGTAAATTGTGATGAACACCAGCTGTCTCTACCTTATGAATCTTTTATTGGAGACTTGTTATGTCTTTTTGTTCACTCACATACACACATACACAAACTCACTGACTTCTCTCCTCCCCTCCTGTGTGCTGCTTACAGAGTGAAGTTAAAGTCCAATAAATAAGTCATTATTACACAAAGGAAAAGTCATGAAATAAAATTGCATAGCGCATGTCTGTGATGGATTCTTGTGTCTTTAAAAACAGCAAGGCCAGGGCAGGAATCTGTTGCTCTGAATGAATAATTAAATGCAAATCAGTGGTGGGCTCCATTTACCTTTAAACACTGCTCTTCTAGCTCTTTTTTTATTGCGCTCAGAATCCCACACAGTTTTAATGCTCGTCAAGATAACCGGCATTCCCACCAGAAGCAGAGAAGACTCACATCACTATAGAATCATTAACAACAGCAACAACTAACTTTATTTATATAGCACTTTAAAAAACAGTGGTATGCCAAAGTTAACATACAAGAGGGTCAGATATAAGTAATAGAGACAGATGAAGGCCATGGCAAGTACCATGTATGCTCGCAGGTTGATGGCATTAAAAACACAGAAACAAAAGAAATACAAATAAAAGCATCATAGAACAATATGTGTAAAGAATAAAAGAGTCAAGAAAAATGTAAAAATAATTTAAAGTTAAGAATAGAACTAAAGTAGCAGCAAGCATTCACTGGTAGAAAAGGCGAGGTTAAATAAATAGGTTTTAATTGCGATTTGAAGGATTGAATGGAATCGGACTCACGGATAGTAATGAGGAGGTTATTTCACAAATTGGGTGCAGCCAAGGCAAATGCGCGGTCACCTGTAGTCTTCAGCCGGGATCTCAGCTGTACCAAAAGTGACTGGGAAGATGATCTGAGTACCCCAGCACGGGTGTATGATCTAAGTAGTTCAATTAAGTTGTCTAGACAATGGGGGAGACCTTTATCAAAAACACGGAGACTTATTTCTCTAGGGACACTTGATCTTACCATCTAAAGCAAGTACAGGCAGTGCATATAAGCAATAAATATGCCTATAAACACTGTGTAACTGCATTACAGCAATCTACCGAGGCTAAATCCTGTTTCAAAGCCAGACAGCACTCTACACCAGCCAACCTACTGCCTGGATTGGTAGTGTTTTAAAAATCAATGCATGTATCACTGTCGTATTAAGCCTTACACTGTGCTATGATTCATGAAAAAAAAAGGCCATAAGTGATCCCCTGCTGTATTGTTCAGGCTCGGACTGATTCATCTTTGGCAGTGTCCACAAACATCAGGCAGTCTGAGGCTCCTGTGGTGAAAGTGGCTTAAATGTGCTGCCTGTCACCATAGTGATGAACAATTCTGCATTTCCAGCCAGTAAGAGGCTTTGAAATTACATTAGCAGCATTTTAGGCTGGTGAGGACTGCATTGCTGATGTTTATGTTGCATATTATCCATAAATCTCTCAACATTTTGTTTCTCAAACTCAACCAATGTGTCTGAACTCGGCATCATCTTCTTATTTAAAGCTACATAAAATAGAAACTTTCATTTAGTTGCTAGTTGCTGTGCACGTGTCTAATGGGAATTTTCCAGTGTAAGTAACCTAGTGTCGCTTGTAGTTGCTGTTGTGCTGTTTCGAGTTTTAGTCCTTTTTTTGTTTGCTTAAGCCTCCGGTTGTTGAACAAAAATTTAATTAGATGGCTCTCAGTGGAGAGGTTTCAGCCAGCTGTTTGTGGTTGCCAAGATATGTCCGTTCCACTTTTCAGATTTCCAGCTAAAGATAATGACTCCTTGTGTAGCCCAGTTTCTCACCTGGAGATTTGCCTACAATACCCAGCACCGTGGTGGTTCAGGGGGAAAAGTGCCAGCCATGCAAAAGCGACTGCTGTTGGTCATGTTACATCTCCTCCCTTTTGTGTGATTAGTAGAAGTACATTGAAAGTACAGTGTGTACAGTAGGCTGCTGCACAGGGCAGATCCATGTAAGAGAGAGAAAAACACATCTGGATTGGTCACATAGCTACTGGATAACTGTAAAAAAAAATCTCCTCTAACAACAATTTGTGATTTCTGTATTCACTTGGTTACATCTTTAATGATTTTTCCTGTTTCAGTCACTGAGAGCAGAGAGGATGCCGCTGCCCGGTGCTTCTTTGGTTACATGCAGACTGTAGGGGCTTTACACCTGGGTCATGTTTTCATTTATATAGGTATACGACCTCTATTTTGGTGACATACTGCCAGTGACCCCTTCTCAAGAAGCAAGTGAGCAGTCAGATGGTGTATATACAGTTTAACCAGATAAACCACTGTTGAGGTAAAACTCAAATTTACCATGAAAATCCTAAGTTCTTTATTATTATAGTAAATATCGATTTTCTTATACTTTTCCGAGGATGTGTTGTGAGCTGAGTGGCGGCCTAGAGCTCTTCCATCTTCCCATCACTCTATCTCTAACTCCAGACACCTTTTGAAGGAAACTCATTTCCACCACATGTATCCCCAAGCTCATTCTTTAAATTACTGCCCACAATACGTAGTAATGTAGATCAATGAGTAAATTGCTTCACCTTCAAGCTTAGCTCTCTATTTATGGCAACAGACTGGTACTATCTGGTACTGTACTTCAGATCTCTCCCTCTACTTTGCTCTCTTCCTACTCATGAACTCCTCCCTAAACGTGAGCAGGTAAGCCATTGTTTTATGGCTGAGAGGCATGGCCATTGGACTTAATGGTGCTAATTCTCCCAGCCACTTAGCACTGGGCCACAGATGTAGCCTTAGTCTATGTCCAAACTTGGTATATCAGCAGTTATTGAGTAGTTGTCCTGTTATTAATGCTTGTAGAACAATAAAACTGTAGTGAAATTGTTTAATATCAGAAAAAATAAAGGAATATGATGATTTCATATGTGTTGTTCTCTTATCTGGAACATAACTTGCTGTGGAGCAGGTTTCCAGCTACCATGGCAACATATTCCAGTAAGAAGTGAACCACCTTTGTTGTACAGAAAACCCAGAGTTTACCCTGAAGATTTCTGGATAAGATGAAATACTGCTTTGTAGTACAGGCCTCTGATGGCAAGGTCCAACACCCACCAGGAACATGTCTCTTTTTGCAACATGAGCTAAGTTATCACTGTGATATCACTGTGATTCAGTAGTACAACTACTGAATGGATTGCATTAAATTATCCATCCATTTTCTGCTGCTTATCTAATTCAGGGTCACGGGGGAGTTGGAGCCTGTCTCAGCTGACATAGACCATGGACAGATCGCAGTGGCTAACTCAGAAGGACAGACAAGCATTCAAACTCACACCGATGGCCAAGTTAGAATCACCGATTAACCAACCCTTATGGTGGTACCCAGAGAGCCCCCACAAAAAGAACATGCAAACTGCACACAGAAAGGCCCCGGCCAGATGATCAGTTCAAACCCAGGACCCAATGCTAATCACAGCCCTAACTGGTGGCCTGCACTGAGTTAAACTGGAATAAATAATGTCATTTGCAATTGAGTGTTCAGACTTTGTTGTGGTAAATAAAGTAACTTTTAGGGCAGTTATGTGGTCTTCCTCACCCTGGCACTAACTACAGAGACTGACGTTACTGCATTCAGGCAGTAGTCTCAGACGTTCACTTTTATCACCTTTTTGACACAGTGTTGGTAGCACAATGGTGAAGTCATTAGCAAAGTTGTCACACAGAATGAAGATGCAGGGGAATAAAGTTTTCCTCTGGAATTACACTTTTTTCTGGAAAACAGACAGGTGGTGATTTCATATGTGTTGATCTCTTATCTGGAATACTGTATGTTAGGTTCTGGTGAGAGAGACTGAGTGGCTGTCTGTCTGTGATGGACTGGTGACCTGTCTAGGGTGTATGACAGCTGTGACTGTGAATCGGACATGAACAGATAGATCTTTTTAACTTATTGGTGGACAATGTCATGATGCACTGCACAATAATAACCACAAGGAAGATGGACAAAGCCACACAACTGAGACTCACAATGCAATAAAACAGATTTAGCCCTGGTGTCAAATTGTGCAGCAGCTT